CCTGCTAGACATGGAAACTTGAGGATCAGAAGTGATTCCTCATTCAGTGAGAGCTCACAGAGCTAACTCCTATGTGCCTCCATCCCTCCTACCTGGCCTGAAGCTCACCTTTGGAAATGCATTCCAAGAAGGAGCATCTCAGTGGTAGAGTGAGGCAGAGCTCAGCCCTGCTGAGATTAAAGTTCTGTCTCCTCAACTCAAAGGGACTCCTTAAGGTCTCTGTAGTCTGAAGGCCTAAGAGGGGAGAAGCCAGTCAATGATAAGTAGTGCCATCACTGAGAGCTATTGTGGCAGGTGGGAGAGCAGAAGTGACATTCCTCGTGGGGCCCATGAGCAAGTGGCCTGACCTCTTCAAGTGCCAGTATTCACATCTATAAAGTGGGGATCTCAGCCAGGTGTTGATGGCTCATGCCTGTAATCCTAGCTACTCAGGAGGCTGAGATCTGAGGACTGAGTTTCAAAGGTAGCCCAGGCAAGAAAACATGTGAGATTCTTATCTCCAATTTGTCACCAAAAAGGCAGAAATTGAGCTATGGCTCAAGTGGTAGAGCGCTAGCCTTGAGTTCAAAAGCTCAGGGACAATGCCCAGGTCCTGAGCCCATGCCCTAGGATTGGTATTTTAAAAAGTGGTGATTTCAGCACATGCCTTCCTGGGATGCTAAGAGAGATAGCTGCATGCATCTCCCTGCCCACAGGAAGTCCCTAGAAGTGTATTCTGCTTTTCCATTGGGCTTGGAAGTGGGTTGATGCTGCAGACTGGCTCCCAGTGGTTGCCGGACATAACAGCAGAGAGAGTTTTGAACAATATATGTGGAGGGCCGACAACAAGTGGGTCCCGAGTGGAATGGGGGGGTGGGGAGCACGTGTTAGGGAGCCTGTGGGCTAGTGAGATAAATGAGGTGGGGTTGCCACTCCTATTTGGGCTCCCAATGATGTAGTTTGAGCCACCACTAACCCTTCCTCCTCCATGCTGAGTTGACTGAGAGTCTCAGCTTTTTTGTCTTAGAGTCACAGAGGACCAGGGAGACTAATGAGCTGGGGGCAAGGCAGGGGGGCAGGGAATCTTCTCTATATGCAACTTTATTTACAGGAGCCCCTTCTATGAAAGACTTCTGTCCCTTTGGTTCTCCCACCTGTTCAGCTCCTAAGATCTTTCCCTCCATAACCTATCCTACCTGCAAGGTTAGAAAGAGAGGACTGAGGAGGGTGTATGTCTTGTTGGGCTACATTTGGGTCTAGGAGTCATGGCCACTAGGGAGTTAGATTCTGCGAGGCAACGGCTCTGGGGGGCTCCGATATAGTTCCTGGGATGATGGTGGACTGAAGCATGCAGCAGTTCTTAGGAACAGGATGCCCTGATGCTAGAGGTGGTACAGAGAGGTAGGAAGGCAGGTGGGGAAGGCCATGCCTATGGAAGTGGGGATTGCATGGTAACGGTGCTCATGATGGTACTAAGGTTAATATAGGTGGTTGTGATGATGGTGATGGTAGTCATGGCCATGGTGACTGTGGGTGATGGTAGCCATGGTGATGCTAGGGGTTAATACACATGGCTGTGATCATGGTCATGGTCATGGTCATGGTAACTGTGAGTGACAGTGGTCCATGGTAATGCTAATATTGGTTGTGATAATTGTGCTGGTGGTAGTGGTCGTGATGGTGCTGGAGTTGGTACAGGTGATGATAGTGATGGTAGATGGTGATAGTTATGATAATGGTAGTCACAGTGGTCATCTGGTGTAGACAATTGTGGTCATGATAATGTGGATGTCCCAGAAAAGGTATATTCTGAGCACAGCTGTGCTGCCTATGATATGGTCAGCCCTGATGGGACATTATAAATGAGCTCACATCAGATGACTAACTCACTAGAACACGAGCCTCCATGAAGGCTTTAGTTCACTGATGAATCCCAGAGCTTGGAAGTGTGGCTAGCCTAAAGTAGATGCTCGATGCATAGCTAGTGAAAGAGGGAGGGGGCAGGGATTGAGTCCCTCCTGTGCTGAACACTGTGTTACCTCCTTGACCTGACCATTCCAGCCATCTGGGTGAGCAAACAAAGGCCAATCTTACCTGTCTAGGACCGACCGCACAGGAGTGAGGAAGAAGAAGATGTTCTTATCAGGCCTGCCACACTGGCCATGCAGGGCTCTGAACACTTTGCAGACACTCTCCCTGCTAGCACTCTGCAGTACATTTTGGTCTTTTGCTTGGGCAAAACATATTAATCATAGAAATATTGCTAATAATAGTAACAATTGCTGTTTGTAATTGTTCAAGTAAAGTTTAAATGATCAAGACCATGGAAATTATTAATAACCCAGGCCTAGCCATAGTGGTGTGGGTCATATTAAATTGTGTTGAGATGGATAACCTTGGCAATAATAGTAACTGGGATCATAAATTAATAACAGGAGTATTTAAATTAATGCCACACTGTCGATACCCTTGGTAGTAAGCATCTCTATGCTGCTGTTAGTACTAATATTGCCCTTCCTGCCTTCCATGAATTCAGCTGAGAGGAAGGCAGGGCTGTAAAAGCATTGGGAGGAGGAGACATCTTTGAAGTGATCGCTGTCTGGGAGGATGGAGCCCTCAGGGACTTCTAAGGACATGTTTGCTTCCTGGACACTTAGGCCCAGCCATGGTGGCTCATGAACATTAATGCTCAAAGCCACAATGATTTTACCTGTCCTTTCTTGAGACTGTCCTCTAGACTCTGTGCACAGGAAAATTCACACCCCCACCCCATGAGTGAATTAGCATCAGCTGATCTAGGAAATCACAAATGGTTAGCAATGAAATTACTTGTAAATGGCTAGCCAGCCCTCTTCTAAGTGCTCTTGGCCTGTTTTTTGTTTTTTGTTGTTGTTTTCTTTTTGTTTGATTGTTTTGCAAGTATCCAGGTTTGAACTCAGAGCCCCATTCTTCATAGGCTACACATCTAGCCTTTCCCTGTCTCTTATTTGGGAAGTTAGTACCATTTTATCTTATTTCTAAATTTTATTTGTCATTTATTTATCTTTGGGGGCTAATCCTGGGGGGTTGAACTCAGGGCAAGGGTGCTGTTCCTGAGCTTTTTTTTTTCTCCTTCTCAAGGCTAGTGCTGTACTACTTGAGCCATATCTCCTCTTCCAGCTTTTTGGCAGTTAACTGGAGATGAGTCTCATTAATTTTCCTACCTGGGTTGGCTTCAAACCTCAATCCTCAGATCTCAGCCTCTTGTATAGCTAGGATTATAGGCATGGGACACGGGCACCTGACAAGTACCATTTTATCAAAGAGGAAGATGAGGTCTGCACATGGCCACGATGTGAATGCTAAGATGGACTTTGAAGACTTAGTTCTTACAATTAATTCCTTTCTCTAGAGCCTTAGTGTTTGGGGACAGGTAAAAATGGAAGTGGGGGAGGGAAGAGGAGTGCCTCCATAAAAGATTGGTGGTACATTATCTGAGGTATGTGGTCTGTGATTTGATCTGTCAAGGTTTCTGGAGTACAACAAGCATGGTCCTGAGAATGTCTACTTCATAGATTGGTGAATATATGGACATGAGTCCATTTAACCACTTCTTATCAGTTCTCTTCTACAGATCATGATTGAATGCCTGCTATGTACCAGACATTCAAATAAGAAAACCAAAGGCCCTGCTTTCAGAAAGATCATAGTGCTGGTGGCTCACACCTGTAATCCTAGCTACTCAGGAGGCTGAGATCTGAGGAATGTGGTTCAAAGCCAGCCTGGGCAGGAAAGTCTGTGAGACCCTTATCTCCAATTAACTGCCAGAAAACCAGAAGTGGCATTGTGGCTCAAAACGGTAGAACTCTAGGCTTGAGCAAAAGAGCTCAGGGACTGCATCTAGGCCCAGAATTCAAGTCCCAGGACTGACAGGGGGGGAAAATCATAGCTTATTGAAACACTCGGTCTAGTTAAATCTATATTGTTGAGCTAGAAGCTGGTAACTCACACCTGTAATCCTACATCTCAGTAGGATGAAATCTGAGAATTGAGGTTTGAAGCCAGCCTAGGTAGGAAAATGTGAAACTCTTATTCCTACTCAACCAGCAAAAAGCTGGAAGTGGAGCTATGGCTCCAACGGCAGAACTCCAACCCTGAGCAAAAAAAGCTAATAGACAGCGCTCAGGTCCTAAGTTCAAGCCCTAGTACCAGCATATGGGCACACACAGTAGGTGTGTGTATGACGGTAGTGGTACCGGTGTGGGACATGCAGGTTTACACTATGCACAAGGACAGTGTGGGTATATGTGAGTGCATGAACATAGGTATAGCTGAGCTTGACAGAGTGTACTCCTGGTGTTTTGTGCACCCTCCAAAGCTCATCAATGGAGAATTCAAACGATGTGGGAATGGACTCCACTCGAATATCCCTATTGGACATCATCCCATTAAGCCATCTCCCTTCCCTGAGCCTTCAGGCACAGGGTGGACTTGAACAGAAGGACTAGAAGGGCAGAGGGCATTCTTTCAAATACGGGATGGGTGATAGGGAGTCACACACTAGGAAGCATCTGAATGCAGAGGTGGGTATGAGATGGGTAGAGAGTGAGCTCTGCAGCCCGCTGCAGCCGGAGAAAGAGGACTGGGAGCTGAAGCGGGTCTCCCGGGCCCCTGAACTCAGAGCAGTTGGACCGACGTGAGCAGTACCCGGGGTGCACCAGATCGCTAGATGCGGTGATCCCGGGAGCGGAGCAGCGGTTGTGAGGCGCGCGGGCGCGGTTCTCTCTCCCCCCACACCCCCCGTGCTTCCCCTCCCCTCCTTTTGGCTCCCTACCCCGAGGCCGCCGGCCCGCCGACCCGGCGGGCAGGCGGGCGGGCGAGCGGGCGGGCGCGGTTCCGGGGGTGGGCGGGGAGGAGGCGGGGCCGCCGCACTGGCTTCACCCTGCGGCTCGAGTCCGCAGCCAGAGCGAGCGGAGCCTCGGCCGGCTCGGGCTGGTGGCGGGCGCTGGGGTGCCGCGCAGCTCTGTGCGTGCGCGGAGCGCACCGGGCTTCGGACCGAGCGGGGAGCTGGGCGCTCGCGGGAAGCTGGCGATGGGGGCAGGTGCTGCTGGACGCGCCGAGGACCGGCCGCGCCCGCTGCTGCTGCTGCTGCTCCTGGGGGTGAGTGCCAGCCAGGGATCCCTTCCCCGGGATCGGAACCCCGGGCTCCCGACGCTGCCACCCCCCACAGATGCCGAACTGAGTGGTGGATAGGAGCAAGGATGCCGGGACCCACGGAGAAGCGTCTAGGACTCTCACAGTCGGACTCGGAAAGTCCCAGGGTAGAGATGGCAGCAAGATGGGTGCTCGGGTGCCGGTCCCTGGGCGCAGCGGGGGAGGGGGTGTAGGGGAGCTGCGGGGGGGGAGTCTCCTGGGAGAAAGTCCTGAGCATCTCGGGTCTCCGAGAGAGGGTCCTGGATGCCGAGACCCTGATGGGGACTTGCTCCTTCAGCATCTTGGTCTCTGGGGAGTCGGGGAGCCCTCACTGAGGCGAGAGGAGGAGGGGGAATGAGGCCAGGACTGGGGAGGTGTGAGGGGCGAGCGGGACTGGGGCGGGGACAAGCGGATGGAACAATGGGGGAGGAGGCTGGAGGGGCTGGAGGCCGAGGGGACCAGGCATGGACAATGGGGACTGGCCAGACAATGGGGGGGAGGGGCATCGGAAGGAGAGATTCGGGGAGCGGGAAAGGGGTTGAAGAGGAAGGAGGGCAGAAAAGGGAGGCGGAGGCCAAGGGAGAGCGGGGAGAGAAGCGGGTGCGTACCCTAAAAGTGCCCAGAGACCCGCCAGCCCCCCACTAAGGAGCAGAGGAATGAAAAAAAAAAAGCGTAGGCACAGTCGTTTCCCGCGCCCGTTCTTTGCGCTCTTTCGCCCAGCCTCGCCCAGTCCGGGAAATTGCAGCTGGGTATCCCCGGGCTTGGAAAGAGAGCGCCCACTTCGCCGGGGCGAACCCGCTCCCTAGCTTCCCTTCCCCAGGGTTGGCGAACTTCTGTGACATGCGTGCTCACGCGTCTTTAAACTGCGTGGCAGACCAGGATGGATGGATGGAGGGAGGGATGGAGCGGGCGTCCCCTGACGAGGGCCTGGCCACCGTCAAGTCTTGGGGGTGCCGAGCGAGCGCTGAGATGCTCTAAGGCGGTGACAGTCCCGGCAGCGCACAGCTCGCGGCTGCGCACACCCGGTCCGGCCGGCAGGGGGCACTGCGGGGCGGGGGATTGCGGGGCGCAGCTGCTTGCGCGCGCCTCGGACTGACCCCAGCGCCGCGCCCACCGCGCTTCTTCTTAGGTTTCCTTCCCTAACAGAGTCCCGATCCCTCACGCACCCCGCCTGGCTTTGGGTAGAAGCCACTGAGTCCGCATCGAGACGAGAGAACATTTGGAGATCTCAGATCTGCCCGGTGGTTGCCCAGAGGTACTGACTCGGCCATCGTCGGCAGATCCTCCCAAGTGCTTTGGGTGTTTCGGACCGTGTCTTCGGCCTGGCGTGATGAATGTCCTGTTAGCCTGGCCAAGCAAGTGACGCCCTGCCCTTTCCCTGCTACTTTCCGCTGATCATTTGCACACCCAAGTCCCCATTTTACCCATAAAGGAGGCTGAAGCTCTGATTGCTTAAGCAACTTGGCCAAGATCTTACAAGCAACTTTTGGGTTGGAGTCTTGCGTCTGTGCACACGCCCCCCTCCCAACACACACACCTGATTCCATCTCCGTATCTCCTCCCCACATCTGCTATCCATGCTGAGCGTTCCTGCGCTGCCTAAGAGCTGCGCGTAATTCTGGGGAAAATAGCGGGGTGGGGGGGGGCGGGAATTGACACAATCTGGGTGATGATGAGACTGGCGCGGTGGAATATAGGGGTGAGTGGACAGAGAACCTCTCCGGACTCAGCCCCCATCCTGGATCCTTGGAGCTGTCAGTACCTGTGGCTTTGAGATTTGTGGTGACCACAGGAGCATTTGCTGACTAATGTCTATGGTTAGGGATGCTTCTGAATGGGGGAGAGGGGGAGGGGAGGAAAGGGCGAGGGGAAAAAAGGATGGACTTGGGTGGCCTGTAGTTCAGACTTGGGTGGTACAAGGACAGAGGGTCTGGTGGAGCTGGATAGGAGAGGGTGTCCCAGAGTCCAGAAGAGACGCAGAAGGAGGGGAGCTGGGAGTGGGGGGTCTTGGGACCCCACCCCCACCCCTTCCCGCATAGAACTTGCCAGCCGCAGGCCCTGCCTACACCTCCTCCGGGCCCCTGTGTCTGGGGCGGCCCGGCGCACCCCGGCGGTCCGAGTTTCTTCCTGGGGCTCGGCGGCGAGAGGAAAGTGCCGAAACCAGAGCGGGTCCCGGCGGGTCGGCTGGCGGGCCACGCCGGTAATGGAGGCACTTTGTCATTCAGACGTCTGTAACTGGAGCCTCGGGCCTGGCTAATGTGCCTAATAGGGATGCCGCGAAAAGGACAGCAAATAAGCAGGCCTGAGCAGGCAGCACGGGTGAAGGGTGGGTGGGGAGATGGCTTAGGCGAAGAAGGGACCCTTCCCACACTGCTGTGCCCCCCCGCCCCGTTTGCCCCATACCTCGGTTCCTTGCTAGGGGAAGAGGTAGAGAAGCTGGAGTAAAATTTGTTGAGTCCTACTGTGTGCTCTTCCACCCTTGACATTTTCTCTAATGTTAGTCCCTAGAAGCTCCCAGAAAGGTAAATTTAATCATTCCCCTGCTTCCCCTCCTTTTTTTTAAAGCCCTGGGGCTCAGGACCTAGGGTGCTGTCTCTAAGCTCCTTTTGCTCAAGGCTAGGGCTCTACCATTTCAGCCACAGCTCCAAAGCTTCTGGCTTTTTCTGAGCGGTTTATTGGAGATCAGAGTCTCACAGACTTTTCTGCTTGGGCTGGCTTCCAGCTAAGATCCTCAGATCTCAGCCTTCTGAGTAGCTAGGATTACAGGTGTTAGCCACAAGCATCCAGCAGTAGTTTCTATTTATAGTATAAGAAACTTAATCCTCTAGATTTTCAGGTGAGAGACCAAGCTTCCCCAGTTCATAAGTAGAAGTGGCCTAGCCAAAAACCAGAGGCCTGGCTCCCAGCTCGCTCTTGCCTCACTCCCTTCCCCCAACTTCCAGATCATCAAAAGAGGTGTAGCCCTGAGTTTCCACCAGACCTAGAGGTTAGATCTTGCCCTATGTCTTTTTTTTTTTCTGTTGGTCATGGGGCTTGAACTCAGGGCCTGGGCACTGTCCCTGAGTTTTTATTCACTCAAGGCTAGTACTCTACCACTTTGAGCCACAGTGCACTTCTGGTTTTCTGGTAGTTAACTGGAAATAAGAGTCTCATGAGCCAGGTGCCAGTGACTCAAGCCTGTAATCCTAGATACTCAGGAGGCTGAGATCTGAGGATCATGGTTCAAAACCAGCCCAGGCAGGGAAGTCCATGAGACTGTTATTTCCAATAAAACCATGCAGAAAACCAGAAGTGGAGCTGTGGTTCAGGTGGTAGAGTACTCGCCTAGAGCTGAAGAGGGGCAGTGCCCCCCCCCAAAAAAAGTCTCATAGACTTTCTTGCCCAGGCTGGTTTTGAACCTTGATACTCAGATCTCAGCCTCTTAAGTAACTAGGATTACAAGTGTGAGCCACCAGTGACTGGCTTGCCCTATGTCTTGGAACTGATCATCTCCCCCCCACCCCAATTTAATTCTGGGGAATTAGCTGTCTCCTACCCACACAACTGCTCTCCAAAAGGAGAGCAGGTCCTCTCCTGGGCTTGTATGCAACTAAGGCTCTCCAGTTATTTGGACCCTGCCCCCATCCCCATGGTTGCTGCTCAGGTTGAGGCCGAGGCCACGGCTGAGGCCTGCTCTCTAAGGAACCTTAAGTTGTAAGTAGTCAGGGCAGACTAGCAGAAGCGTTCCTAGTAAATTCAAATATTTTCAACTATTTTGGTCTGTTCTCCATTTTGTCCACCAGAAATGGCAAAAAGAAAAAAGAAAGAGGGTTTAGAGGCATGGCTCTGTAGAGCGACAGCCAATGGGTGAAAAGGGTCAGGTATTGAGTTCAAGTCCTAGTTTCAAACAAAACAAATACAGTGTAAATATTCTAGAAAAATGGGCCATGTCTGTACCATTCTAACTTTGAAATGAATTAAGTGTAATATAACTTGTAGACAAATATTCTGTCATTTTGAGAAATGAACTGTTTTGGATCTGATTTCAGAGCAATTAGCCTGAACTCTAGTCACCTCTTCCTGATTTTGAACCTTTTCCCTCCTACTATGTATGTCCTGCCAGGGGTCAGCAGTGAGTATTTTTCTAAGAACAGCTACTTCTTTGGTAACTAATGTTGATTGAGTTCCTACTGTGTACTAGTCATGCTTGCATACATTGTTCTGTTCCATTCTCACAACAACCCTGTGACATAGTTATAATCAATTCAGTGTTTCAGATGAGAAAACTGAGTCTAGGGGACTAAAATCGACATAGTATTAAGTAGCAGACCTAGGACTTTCTGCTGTAGGAAACATCAAACAAGCCCAAGAAACAACCTTGACCCCAAATACAAGTCTTCAGAGAAGAGTAAGGAGAGTAGGTTTCCTGGTAGAAGCCTTTGCCCAGAGCTGCCAAACCACCCATAGCTACCATAGATTAACCAGAGCCTAGGTTTCTATTGAATCTGTTCAATGGAACACAGTCCAGGGTCACAAAGGCAGCAAGAAACACATTAGAGAAGAGTCCTGAGGTGGATTGACTCCTTGCTCACTCATTAAACATTTTAGCAACTCATGAGGCAGGTTCTATCATGATTCCCTAATAGCAAGGAAACAGGCACAGAGAAATTCAAAACGTACCCCAGATCTCTCAGATCAGAGTCAGGGCAATGGAAGCAGCAGTGGGAGGCAGAGGGAAGGGAAGAGGAGGATCCTCTCAGGTCAGCTCCCACTTACAATCTTTCTATCCAAACCAATGGCCATCTTTCTTTCTAAAGATTCCTTCCTTTAGACTTAAAAAGAGGATGCTAGGGAGGAGGGGCTGCTTCAGTCACATGTTGGTAGCAGCAAGAAATGACAACTGATACCTTGACAGGAAGAGGGGAGAGAGACCGACTAAAAAAGCTGACAAGTAAAAAGGACAAAAGTAGTGTGGTAATTTGGTAGAAAGAACACCAGGGCCAGAGCATGGGCTGCATTGCAGCCCAGAATAATCCCTGGTGTGTGTAAACAGTGAGTCCCTGAGTCATGAGGAAACCATGAAGGTATGTTCCAGAGACAAAGGTATAGCCCCCATGGTGAAGAGAAAATCCATTTGATGGTGACAATGGCACACCCTTGACCCTTCCAGATACTCCAGACAACAGAGAACATATTGCGTTTTCATGTTCTTAAATTCCATTACCATTACTTGAGGTCCTTGTTACATGCATGCCAGGGACTGTGCCAGACCCTGTCCTCAGGGAACTGACTGGTGAAGGAATCTGATGTGTCAGGCTGAGAAAAAATGGACCACTTCCTTGAGGAAGTAATATTTAATTGAGGCCCTAAGTGATGAAAGGAAATCAGAACAGACCCTTCGTGGAATCTCGCCTCCTGGGGGAAAGCCTCCATCTGGGATCCTGAGACCCTGGTCAGCAGATGTTGATGATGCCACCAGGAGGAAAATGGTGGCCACTTCTCTACTGCCAGTATCCTCCCCTCTGGGTTCATGGAGACCACACTGCCTTCTAGATACCTGCCTCCCCATTTTCCTTCCCCACCAGACTCTGGGCTGAGGAGACTGCAGGGTATTTTAAAAACCTATAGGGAAGGAAGTTTCTTGGCCACAATCTGGCTAGCATAGAAAAGAAGGAATACCCCGAAATGACCTTGTGAAATGCTCTCTCTCTCTCTCTCTCTTTCTCTCTCTCTCTCTCATGCCTTTGCTTCTCAGCATCAGTGGGGACTATACTGTCTGGAGCCAGCCAAGCAGCCTTTGGAGTTTTATTAGACATTAGATTGTTTTTTAAGGAGCAGAAATATAAAAGCAAGCCTCCCGCAGCCCCTCCCTCCAAGGAATCTGGTGCTAAATTGTTCCATCCATGAGCAAAGACGCTTCAGTGGCAGGAATCTGACTCCCCTTTCCCCTGCTTCCAGCACTGTTCCCAGTGGCCACATAGGAGGCATGAGGATGGGGGAGGGCTGGAAATCAAACCCTGGTGAGACAGGGAAACTGGGTGGTGAGCAGCAACTTTCATTGATAACAGACATCCCTTTTTCCCTGTCTTGGCGCCAGACGCTTGCCCATAGGCTGCTTCTTTGCCCTGGCACCAAGCTGTCGCCGTATCTATCTATGGAGAGATGCAGATTCCAAGAGGGAAACTGGGGTAGTCCAGAACTGCCGTGCAGGGTCAGAATTTGAATCCAAGACCTCAGCCTTCTGCCTTTTCCTCTTGGGCACAGATTCCTCCTGTTTGATATTTAATATGTGGAATTAAGGACCTGTCCAAAGTCCCTGCTAGCCTTTATTAGGACAAAAGGCCCCCTTTTCTGAGTAAATACAGCCCTGCAGGTGTGAAGCTTAGCAAGTGGAGTTTAAGCCAGATTTGAGCTCTGCTGGCCCCCTTGGCTGAGATCCCTGTTCAAGTTGCAACCTGTCCAACCATTCAGGATGATGTCCTGCCGGAAGGCCCGCTGCTGGGTCTCAGGCTGCCTTCTCCCACGTGGGATTCCAGCAGGGGTTGTAACCCCAAGGTGAACTGTGCAGAAGGTTAGCACTGGAGGCTCTGCCCTCACACCCTAGCAGCCTGCAGGGGCGCACTGTCCGCCCTCCCACTGCCTTCCTCTCCACCAGCTTTGATGTGTCTCATGCCTCCCTGGTGAGCTCATCCCAGCCCAGGTGGTTCCAATAGAAAGCATTACGAAGGGGCTTTTGATCCCTGGAAGACACTCTCCTCTCCTGCCAATCTGACCCTCTGATCTCCCCCTACCTAGGTGTCTCTCGGAAATGCCCAGGAGGCATGCCTCACCGGCCTGTACACCCACAGCGGAGAGTGTTGTAAAGCCTGCAACCTGGGCGAGGGTGTGGCCCAGCCTTGCGGAGCCAACCAGACTGTGTGCGAGCCCTGCCTGGACAGTGAGTACTGGGTGATGGGGATGGGCGGGAGAGGGGATGCTCAGTGGGGGCTTTGTATGTGTTCCACCTCCTTTGCCCACCATAGTATGGTCACCAGAAATGGCTGTGACCCAATATCGGAGGCAGAGAACAGCAGCTGAGAGTGGAAAGAATGCAGAGGGGGGAATCTGGTGAGGCATCCCTAGGGGTACCCTTTCCCAGCCCCCAAGCAGAGAGAGGCCTTGTGGAAGCGTGTGGCCAGGCAGGGAGAAGAAGCTGATGCTCAGACCAGCTAAAAATATCTTCTGCACTGTGAAATCAATGGTTGCAACTTACCCTCCATGGGCTTGGGGGGAGGGGCAGGAGGATCAAATCCTGGCTGCCCTGGAGACTGACCTTGGGGATCCTGGGAGGGTGTGGCTGCCCCTCCCCCAGGCCAACTGTGCTCCAGCTTGGGGACCAAGGAAGCTTTCCCAGCAGCAGCAATAGGGGCTGGAAAGCTACAAGGACCTCCTTACTTGGGGTGCCATGGGGAGGAGAGGGAGCTACAGGAATTCCCTCCTGTCTTACAGAGTTGGTGGATGGCAGAGGGACAGCAGGGATGCTTCCCTTTGGTCCTAGTCTTGTCTAGTGTCTTTTGTGCTCTTTGGAGGCAGGAGCTCTGCCCCATGGACCCTCCAGTGCTAAATTGCTGCTTTTATTATTATTATTGTTATTATTATGTTTTATGCCAGCTCTGGGGCTTGAACTCAGGGTCTGAGCACTGTCCTTGAGCTTTTTTGCTCAAGGCTAGCACTCTACCACTTGAGCCCAGCTCTACTTATGGCTTTTTAATGGTTAATTGGAGGCTTTCCTGCTTGTGCTGGCTTTGAATGGGTGATCCTTAAATCCTCACCTCCTGAGTAGCTAGAATCATAGGCATGAACCATTGGCACTGGCTTTAATTGCTGTTTTTAGGAACTGGCTAGGGGCCCTTTCTCTGAGAGTTGCTGGTCACATCCCATATTCCATCTCCCTGGTGTTCAATGCCCACCTTGAGGGCCAGAGAACCAGCCTCCACTAGTTCTTTAACACTGCTGGGAACAGAGGACTGGGTTGGCTGGTAACTTTGAGCACATCAGGTGGGCTTACCTCCAGATGCTCCCACCCCTACCAGTCTGTCCTTCAGGGAACCCTAATATATTACTGTTCCTCAAACACTGTTTTCCACCTCTGTGCTTTGGTGGTTTTGACATATGATCCCATCCTCAGCAGAGATGGTGTGGGAAGTCTCTGCTACCTTACCTGGGTTTTTGGGTGCCTGGACTCCAGTCTAGCTCTGTGCTCTGAGCCTGAGTCTCCTAAGACTGACCCCCTTTTCCTCCTGTCCAGGGGTTTTCAGCAGAAGGTGGGGTGTGAAACCCAAGAGGGGCTCAGTCAGGATTCTGTGAAGGGGAAAGGAGGCAGAAAGCAGCTCAGGAATTGCTGGAGGAACTTTCCCCTCCCCCTCCCCTTCTCTCCTCCCTCCTCCTTCTCCCCTCAGCCCCTGGGTCCTTCCCCCTCTTCCCCCCCACCTCCAGCTGTGTTAACAGGCTGTCTTTACAAGCCCATTTTATGGGATGGAGACCCCAGTGGACTTTCCCTCTATCCTCAAAATGTTTCCACAAGGAAACCTATTAAGCTCCTGCCTTCATGCTCTGCCAAAAACGACCACATTTTTCACACCACCTAAACCCCTCTCCCAGGGGTTTTCTGCTAATTTCTGTATTTTCCCAGGAGCAGGACTTTTCCTCTCCAGTATGACTAGACCCACCCACTTCCACATGCCCACCAGATAGGGATTCTCTTGTTTATAGATTGGACACCCTACCTCAGCTGTTGAGCTTTCTAGTGTCTGACTGTATCTCTATCACCTAAGTTCACTGTATTTACCATGTCCCACACGAGGGGCCCAGCCTTGGTAAGGTCCCTACTATGCTTCAGGTGTGGAACCACTGAACTTCTTTTACTTGTGGTGGGTATCTACTCCCTCCCCACACTTTTAAATATCGGAGAAGGCATCTTGATCTTTCACCTTCTTTGGCTAAACCTGAACTCTGAGGCCTCTTGGCTGCCAGTGGCACCATGGCTGGTTATTATTTTGTTTTACAGAGAAAGAAGAAGGCTTGGAAAGGTTACAGAAAACACTTACCAGTCACACAGATAATAAGTTATAGAATAGAATTTTGAATCTAGATCTGCTTGTTCTCCAAAAAGAAACTGAGGATTCCTATGTGGGGATTTACTAGAAATCAATGTGTCTCTGGGCCTTTCTCTCTCTGTTCTGGGCCCTCATGTCTGTCCCTTTCACATCTCTCTGGATTTCCTTTTTCTCCCCAACACCCCCACGCCTACCCTCCAAGAGGAGATCCAGTGCTTATCTCCTGATAATGGTCTTGAGATGGCACCCCACAGCAGGATCCCATTTTCTTCCCTGTAGCTTTCTTCTTCTGTTTCCACATTCCCAGCATTCCTTATTTTTCAGGATCCTATATCCTTGGAGCAAAGATAGCGTCTCCTGAATTGGCAGAGTTCTCCACCCAGTAAAGAGACCCTGACTCTATTCCTGCTGAGCTCCCTGCACAGAGCTTCCTTATGCCGGAGCACATTGCCATTAGTTAATAGAGTGTGACTCAAGAGTGATCTTGGAACCTTGCCCTTCGTGCCAGGAGAGGTCACTGAACTGTATATGCCAAACCTTCTTGCTTTCTAGCTTTGATCCTTCTTGCTGTACCCGAACGATCTTGTCTTATCCCTGCTCCTCCAGAGCCAAACCCCTTGGCCTGGCCTGTAGGTTACCATAATGGGTGGGGGAATTCTCCTGTCTAGCTCTAGACACTCTCACTTGGGGCCCCACCTGGTTCTCCACCAGCTGGGAGGAATGGAAGGACAGCTGAGGCAGAGGCTCCCTGGGGAGGGCCCCTAGTGCCTGGACTGAGTGTATGTGTATACAGCCCGGCTCTAGCTAGAGGGAAGGGCTGGGTGTGGGCCACGCTCAGATTATTTCTTAGTCATGCTGGGAACAAGGGTACAGTCTGAGAACTCTTTAAGATGCTTTGCCAAGGAATTTACCAGCACCAGCTGGGTTGCCCCCCATGGTAGCCTCAGGGCCAGCTCTGCTGGGATCCAGAGGATGGGGCTCCTGGCTCTCTTCCCAGTCAGCTGCCACCAGCTTTCAGAGTGGGGATCAGGGACTCGTGGGAAGAGGATGGGAGTCCCCATGAGAACGCAAGACAGAAGCAGGGGTCCTGGCAGGTGATAGAGAGGCAGGGCCTGTAGCCCCTGTACCCTACCTGCCTAAGTTAAATGTCTGCTGCTTCCCCGCCTCCCCCTCCTCTCAGGTGTGACATTCTCCGACGTGGTGAGCGCCACGGAGCCATGCAAGCCCTGCACGGAGTGTGTGGGCCTGCAGAGCATGTCTGCACCGTGCGTGGAGGCGGATGATGCCGTGTGCCGCTGCGCCTACGGCTACTACCAGGATGAGGTGACTGGCCGCTGTGAGGCGTGCAGTGTGTGTGAGGCCGGCTCGGGCCTCGTGTTCTCATGCCAGGACAAGCAGAACACGGTGTGTGAGGAGTGCCCCGATGGCACGTACTCTGACGAGGCCAACCACGTGGACCCGTGCCTGCCCTGCACAGTGTGCGAAGACACAGAGCGCCAGCTGCGTGAGTGCACGCGCTGGGCAGATGCCGAGTGTGAGGGTGAGTGTGGTTTGTACCCAGGAGTGGGGTGGAGGGTGGGGGCACGGGGGTGCTAGAGTTGTGGGAGAGGAGTAGGCCTACCCAGACAGTTCTGTGACTTTAGGGACAGCAAACACATCTTCTTTTACCTATCCTTTCCTTTTCTGTCCTCCTTTCTCTCTCCTTTTCCCTTTCCTTCTTTCCCTCTCTCTTCCATTCCCTTCTCTTCCTTTTTCTCCTCCTTCTCTTTCTCCTGTGTGCGTGCATGCGTGTGCGTGTGTGTGTGCGTGCGTATGTGTGTGTGTGTGATGGTACTAGAGCTTGAATTTAAGGTATAGGCTCTGTCCCTTATCTCTTTCACTCAAGGCTAGCCCTCTACCACTTCAGTCATAGCTCCGCTTTCTAGGCTTTTTGCTAGTTAATTGGAGATAAGACTCTCATGGGATTTCCTGCCCAGGCTGTCTTTGAACCAGGACCCTCAGATCTCAGCCTCCTGAATAGGTAGGATTACAAGCATGAGCATCCGCATCCTCTCTGAGCCTGAGTCCTTCCCTGGGGTAGTATGGTCCTATCTCAGCACAGGACTCTTTCATAATTATGGCTCTGTGGACTAAGTGTTGGGAAGCCCACACTCATATCCTTTTGGGCACAGTTAAGTCTCTACCTTGTAACTCCATTTCAAGATCTCATTCATGCCCATGTCAGCTAGTGACTGGACTGGCAGCAGACAGTGGATGGAAAATGGGCATGGCTGCCAGAACAGGCCTTGTGTCATCCGGAGACAGGCTTTCTGCGATGGAAGGGGCAGCAGGATCTATAGGAGTGGAGACCTTTGGCTCTGAGGCCTGGTCTAGGTTCATACTTTTTTAGCGGGGGAGGGGGGGGTCCAGTCATGGGGCCTGAACTCTGGGCCTGGG